GCCTTATCGACCAGATTGCGGACTTCATCCTCAAAGCGATGCAGGCTAAGGGCTAACAGATCGGCCAATGTGGTCTCCTTGCTCATGCTAAACTTCACGCCCGTAGCAACCATCAGCTGGGCCCAGTGACGATCCCTGATGGCGGGGTTCTGTAGTTCTTTCACAGCCTGCAACGATGTGGTCATATTCTTGACGACTTCCTCCAGCCCCCCCCACGTACCCCACGCTCTCACCTCCTTGTCTAACCGACGCAGGTCTTTAGCAAAGTTTCGGCAGTCGGCGTCCAGCTGATCGACATCGATTTCCAGCCAAGGTGTGCGCGTCCAGGAGGCAATGCGAAAGCGTACCACGAAGACGTAGTCCCAGAGGACCTTGAGCAGGCGCAGGTTGCGTCGGCATTGTTTCAGCTGACGGAAATCTGGTAGAGAAACCTCGAAGAGCTCGGCAGACTTGACCAGAGCGGCCAACTCGAGTTCCATGGAGCGAAAAACCAGATGTTGCTGGAAGACAAAAGGAACAAAACGAAAATAAAGAGACGGGAGAGAGAGGGAGGAGGACGATTAAAATTGTAGGAGAGATTCTGGAGGGAAGTGACGCTAAATGAGTGGGTTTTGCGGCTATGGATAGCCAGAAAAAACGATCCTTTAAAAGCCAACTCTTTGGGGTTATGCGTCAGGCAAGTATTTAAAACAAATCCAACCATGTAACCTTTTCTGCCTGAAACCCCATCAAAAATTAACGTGAATACTTGTAAACGAGTTCTGACGCAGACCATATCCCGAGAGTGGTTTTTGTTCCATAGGCGGCCTTACTGCTGACCGTGTTGTTTAGTCTTCCCTGAGGTTGTAAACAATTGCCGGTATTGGCGAATCGAATGCTCTGCGTGTTATCTGCTTGCATCTTACCGAAACGAGTTTTAACCTGCCCTGGCCTTCACTGTGTCACGGACCGCTTCGTCGACCACTGTTGTAACCTGCGTCGCCACTGTTGTAACCTAGTGTGTTCCTGTGTAAACACTGGTTATGTTCCCTCAGTAG